ACTATGATATAAACTTGTTCATGTAAGTGTTTCCCCCTATAGCTTTTAAATATTTCTTCTTTAAATTATTTTTAATGGGGATTAAGTAAGGGATACAAATGTAAAGATAAGAGACAAATGTCACAAATGTCATATCTATTATTCAATGTACAAAACTCATCCACCTTTCTATAAATTGTATTTTTTTTCAGAATATATTGCTGAAAATTCAGACATAAGAAACACTTATTTATTTCCTTGGTTTTAATGTTCACCAAAAGAAGTTTGGTAAATAAAAGTAACTTTTTAAACATTATATTACACCCCCCACCCCCCTTAGGTTTGATAAGGTATTATAAGGTATTATATTAGCGTGTCCGTCTTGAATGTTCGTTGCAAATGAAACATATCGGCTTAAAAAAATTCTGGGGAGAACCCTGAATAGGCATTATTTATTACAGAATGGCTCATAGGTATTCATTCCTTACTGAGACTGATGTTCATCAGAGGCCAAAAACGGACATTGTCATAAGCAAAAATAATTAAGTTTTACTGCATACTGAACATCTTGATAATAATATAAATTTCCGTAGGTGTCCTTTTTTGAAAGGTCACCATATTTTAGCAAATGTTAGCATATCTAAGCACACTTTTATTTGTTTTCATTAAATAATCAAAACAATATAAAGAAAAGTGATTACCAAGACACACTGTGCACAAAGAACTTTGGTTCATGAAATATGTTTTGAAATGATATCCCTGGCACACAAAATCAAAAAAAGTGTACTGATAAGCCAAACATCAAAGAACATATCTACCACAAAGATATTACCACTGCTGCCAGATTATTTAGAAAATACTATAAGACTCTTTTATGTCCAGGAATGCAGGATAGGGAAATTCCACCCTCAGTATTTTCAAATTTGGTAAAACCAGAGGCTGCCTGTCCTACATCCTTGGGCATGGAAGAGTATTTTTTTCTCATCCCAACCACCAGAATACGCTCAGAAACCATGAAAATGCGTTAGGACTGGCTACCATTTTGAAATTATCAATTTTCCCCCTGAGCTTTTTGACGAAATCTCATCTTTCTAACAGTGTGGCATTTGTGTCTTCTTAATTCGTGACTTCACATCACATCATTGTTAAGCCATTGTGACGTCACACCCATGGAAGATAGGCTCAGCAAGCATGGCTATCTTACATGGCCAGCATTATCTTACATGACCGGATATGAGAGAAAACTATGTAACAATGAGTGGTTATCAGTATCCAGTTGTAATGTGAGAAAATCAGATTAACAGATCAACAATTAAACTGGTCCAAAATCAAGACATTTACCAGAAAAACCTGGAGTGAGGGCTGCCAACTTTCTGGCCACTTCATCCTTGACCAGATCTGTTTTTATGCTCCCAAGATGGACTTCGAAAATGCTTGCCCTGAAATTAAATTAAGATACTTTGTCAAAGAGGAAATCACTTGCACCAGAACATTTCTCTGTAACATAATGATAATCAGTGTCGCTAATTATATATATACTGAAATTGTTTGTTAATTCAGAATACAGGATCTTGATAGTGTTTGGTACACAGTATAAGTGAACATTCACTGTGTCATGGACAAAGGTTTAAGTTCTCCCCAGAATATTTTTAAGCTGATACGTTTCATTTTCAAGGGAGGCAAACACAGCACAGTAACATGCAGAACAAATCATGTCATATTGGGGAAGGCGGCATCTTGTAGATGTGGCCCTTATTTTTCTCATTTTCATTATTTTACATATGAACATTTTGGTGAATTCAAAACCAAAGAAAAAAAATCCTGTTACATACAAAGTAACAATTGTTTAAATATTCCAAATACCAGTACATAGTTTATAGAAAAGTGTATTTAGGTACATTAAATATGCATAACATATCTTTATTTTCTTATCTTTACATTTATAACCCTAAATTTATCCTTCATTTATAACAGTTTTAAACAATATGTTATGCTTTTAATGGTAAAGAAATAAACTGGGTGGGTGTGAGGAGGATTTAACTCTTACTTCCAATTATGATAAAAGAAAAAAGAGATTTTCTTATGTTTGATTAAAATAAAAAGTGTTTTTATTAAATTTTGTCAGAACCCTTTTGATTTAAGATTTAAACAAAATTTGAAGTTGGCCCCCCTTAAGCTTCCTTTAAAAAATATTTTAAAAAATCCAAATTTTCATTCTGTTTTCTGGTTTGCATGTAACATATTCCAATATGACTATCATCTCCGACTGAACACACATTGTTTCAGCACTGCCAAATGCAATCATATGTGATTAAACTAATTCATAATTCACAGTAGTTTTCTCAAATTTATCACCTAGTGACCATGCTAAAAGAACTGGAGATAATTGCTTCAGACGTGAGTGAACATACTTGTCCAATACATGTATTTGTTGACTATAGTGCCCCTCCCCTACTGATTACAGCCCCCGGTGAGGATAGAACCATTATCACCAGTGTAGTGCCTCACAGTAACCTCTCACCTGCCCTTGATATCTGGTAGAGGTATGTAGATCTGTCGGTCAAATCGACCTGCTCTCAGCAAGGCAGGGTCTAGAACATCTATTCTATTAGTGGCAGCCAAGACCACTACCCCGGACTGTGAACTGAAACCTAAACAAAATATGTCCTAATCATTATCTTATAATAATGTTGTTGTTTTTTTAACTGTTTAACATACATTCTGATTACATCAAGACTAAGGGCCTTTACACAAAACTGCTGTGCTAATCATAGGTTAATGTGTTCTATGTGACCTTAGTAAGTTCAGCTTATGGCTGAAAGAACCTTTTAGTAGTGTAGGAGTTATTTCCCCTTACAGTAAGTATGATAGGGGTGAGGTCAGAGTCACTGCCCCATATACCAATATAGTAAAGAGTAAGTATGATAGGGGTGAGGTCAGAGTCACTTACCCATACACCAATATAGTAAAGAGTAAGTATGATAAGGGTGAGGTCAGAGTCACTGCCCCATACACCAATATAGTAAAGAGTAAGTATGATAGGGGTGAGGTCAGAGTCACTTACCCATATACCAATATAGTAAAGTGTAAGTATGATAGGGGTGAGGTCAGAGTCACTTACCCATACACCAATATAGTAAAGAGTAAGTATGATAGGGGTGAGGTCAGAGTTACTGCCCCATACACCAATATTGTGAATGTAGCCCAATGTTTACATTTGATCAAATTAACCGGAAGTAATTTTGATTGGCTAGTGCACCCTATTGTCAAAGGCAAAATGGCTGTCGATGTGAGCAGTCGAAAGCACTTCAATTTAATAAAACGATGTAGAGTCCATATTGTATCGAGTACGGACATGACATCTAGTCAAGTGAGTGAGAAATGAATCAACTGAAATAAAGGTATGATTATTTTCTCTGACAAACATGTATAACTCTCACAATCGCTGTCGCCAGATTTCGACGACAATCCTCGCATTTTAAAGAGCAGTCGATAGCTGACCATAAACAGGCGACCGATCAGAATTTTTGAGCCAGCGATTATGATCAGTTTTAGCGGACTAGTACACCGCCAAAGAGCTGTATCATTTTGCCCATCAAATAAGAGATTGCATTGGACTATACAGTATTGACCACAATATCAGAGATCATTTTCTTACCATCAAGTTCAACAAGGAACTGGTTGAGTGTATTTTCCTGTTCGACGTTCCCACCAAAACTGCCACTTTCACGTTTTTTACCCACTGCATCTATTTCATCAATGAACAGTATACATGGAGCGTTTTTCCTAGCTTCCTTAAACATGTCTCGTACCTGTAAACATATAATATATACAATAAAGATTATATATTAGAGAAATCCAATTTAATCATTATATACTATTGAGTTAGAAAATAAAAATAATGGTGTGTAGTTGTCTCTCCTACCTTGGACAGGAGTATTCTTGTCTTAACCTAAATAAAAATTGAATCCCACCTACCAAAGGATGCGTTAAGAACAAATTTGGTTAAAATCCCTCCATTTATATTCCTATGAAAGGAAAAGGATTTTAAACTTTGAGCTCTATTTCCCCCATGGTGCCCTGCCCTTTGCCTCAGGGGGTGGGGGGCACACCTCTTTTTGACCTTTGTTTATATTGAATATATTAGTTAGGGTGTATTCATGAGGGTTGAGATATCTCTTTATATAAGATTTGTAACTTGCAGTTTTGATTTTAATCTATTCATGTCTACAAGCTCTAAATCTGTCTACTTCTAGGATAACTAGACCAAAAGTGCTCACTTACTACCAACACACACTCCGAGACAGACATCTCACTTCACACATGTATCAGCTTGTTTTTTAATTGGGTCAGGGTGGGGTGGAGAAGAAAAGAATCATAAATGTAGCTAATACAACTCTGAAACTGGCTTTTAAGAATTCAATACATTACCCGAGCAGGACCAACTCCGACAAACATCTCGAGGAACTCTGATCCAGACACGGAGATGAAGGGAACACTAGCCTCCCCAGCTGTGGCCTTGGCCAGTAGTGTTTTCCCTGTTCCTGGGGGGCCAGTCAGCATGGCTCCTTTGGGGATTTTGGCTCCAAGTTTAAGGTATTGTTCCTTGTTCTTCAGGCAGTTTACAAATTCCATGATTTCTAATTTGGCCTCATCACACCCGGCTACATCACTGTGTGCAGAACCATGTTACAGTGCAGAGCAATAACGTACAGGTCACACCACTACACCAAATTCACAAAAACAGTACAAAGTACACAAAATCTGCAAAAACAGCATTTTCAAGGTAATATTTGAAACGTACATAAACCAGATTCTAAGAGTCATTTTATTTTGTTTATATTCAAGCACTTCATCCTAAGCCTTCCAGCAATAGCCATTCCTGCGGTGATACTCAGGTTGACATGGAATTTTGTCAGGAGGTATTGTTCCATTCAACTAGTTTAAAGGACTATCATACAATCTGAAAATACACTTCTGTAATCTTGTTAACAAGAGAGCCTAACATGATTCAAAAGACTGTTTCCATTACAGCCTTATTGTCTAGCTACGGCATCGTGTCATGTGACAACCTTCAAAGAAGTTGTACAGTTTAAAAAGAATTTGTCAGCATTCTAAAGACAAAGGTTCACAAGAACATGAATGCTTCTATATCAGGCTTTTCATTAACTTCTATTTGAACAGACAAAGGACATTTTTAACTGGCCAACTTTTCTAAAATTATAAATATGAGATACATGATGTAAAACAAAGTGATTTGAACAGTCCAAAATCGGATCTGAACCATTCCTTTTGGCTGTGCCTGTTCTTAATGAAAACCCTGTATCTTGCAAACATTTGCCATATATGTCATTTATTTAAAGTGTCCTTACTTGCTGTTTATACAAACCTGAACTTGAATGCAATATTTGCATCTGGCTGAAATATCCTTGCTTTGGACTTTCCAACACGAAAAAATCCTTCAGGTCCACCACCTGCTTTCATTGAAAACACACTGCTTCTCTGTGAAAACCAGAAACCATTTATGGATATGATGAATTTTTGTATTTTTAGTAAGTATTTCACAACATGAAATATTTCAGGTCAGTCTCCATTAAAACATGAAAACTAGGGAACAATGTTATTTATTGTATGTCTGCATCCTCACCTCAGACAAAAACCTAAAGCTGATTACAGGGAGGTACTTGTACCAATGTTTAACCGAAGTTGTATTTTAATTTTTCAATAGGCATGAATGTGGAGTACTTGTAAAGAAGGAATCAAAATATAATTTAGGAATCAATAAATTATTACAGTGTACTTACTCTCAGGAAAAGCATTATTATTGCACCAATTATGACAGCCTCTAGTAAGAATCCGGCTGCACTGCCAATATTCCTGAAATAATAAAGAATCAAAGCTAAACAAAACATGTGGAGTTAACAAAAATGAAGGTTTCTGGGCCATTTCTTAATAAGTCTTTGATCAGTCAAGATGTTTTTTTTATTGTACACTTAGTAGAAACTGAACGATATAAAACATCACATGACAGGTTTTAAATATACACGACAAGCTAAATACAGTGTACTCAAACTTGCTTTATGATTCCAAAATATGTACAAGACACATCTTCAAAATATTTTTTAATTTGTGAACATTTTTTTCGGATTTTAAAAGTTGTTGCCCCACAATGATTACACTTTGATCACTTTTTTTGGTACTGTATACTTGGAAATTCCGCTGCTGTTTAAATAAATTTTCATTTTTTTTCGTTATCATGGAAAAAGATTCTCAACGCAAATAATATTTATAGGGCCATTCCCTTTGGCCAATCCTGCCAGTATATGTGTATCCAAATCTTTATGCTTAGCAATAGTATATATCATAATAGGGTGGTGATCTCAAGGTTCCCATGTTATAACCTGGGACTAAGTCCTTAAGGGTGTGGCCAGACCCCAGGGTCAATTTTAATTCCATGACTGTATTCGTCTCTTTCTGCCGAGCAATTGTATATATTGCTAAAGGGTGGCAACAGTTTCAAAGTTATGACCAAGGAACATGTCCCTAGGGGCGAGAGCAGACCCCAGGGTCAAGTCTCATATCATTTTGGATCTGTTGTTTTGTGCCTAGCAATTGTATATTTGGTTATATGGGGTGGGGATCTTGACAGCTTTAAAGCTATGACCAAATGTCTTATTCTCCATATACTATCATGCTTAATCACATCTGTACTGTCATGCTTTGTCACACCTTTACTATCATGCTTTGTCACACCTGTACTGTCATATTTTGTCACACCTAAACTGTCATTCATTGTCACACCTGTACTATCATTCTATGTAACACCTGTACTGTCATACTTTGTCACACCTATACTGTCATTCTTTGTCACACCTATACTGTCATTCTTTGTCATACATGTACTGTCATGCTTTGTCACACCTGTACTGTCATTCTTTGTCACACCTATACATACTGTCATTCTTTGTCACACCTATACTGTAATTCTTTGTCACACCTATACATACTGTCATTCTTTGTCATACCTGTAATGTCATTCTTTGTCACACCTATACTGTCATTCTTTGTCACACCTATACTGTCATTCTTTGTCACACCTGTACTGTCATTCTTTGTCATACCTGTAATATCATACTGTGTCACACCTATAATGTCATTCTTTGTCACACCTTTAATGTCATTCTTTGTCACACCTATACTGTCATTCTTTGTCACACCTGTACTGTCATTCTTTGTCACACCTGTACTGTCATATCTTTTCTATCATAATAGGAAAAACTTTTCCACCATTTTTTACCTCTGCCTAAAACTGTATCTCTGCACTGGAAACTATATATTTTTGGTGTGGCTTTAGGTTTCATAAATCCGTTTTGAAAAGAAACTGAATAACTTGCAGAACTTTTACGTACAAGAATTTCACAGGAGTGGATGTTTCACCTTCGCAGGCAATTTTAATGAGATAATATGAAAACGGGATCTTTTTATATTAACGGTGACTTTGATCACCCCAAAGGATGTTAAGTTATCGCATGGAAACCCTGTTTCGGACAACACAAACAATATGTACGCAGATGGTGACAAAGTAATACCTATATGTCGCCTCACATTGCAGATGACACAAAAAATGAGACAATATTTTTCGAAGCCGTCCAGTAGAACAAAAGTTACTGAGCACTTTGGTATTTATAGTAATGGTGACATGGACCTTTGACCTTCGGACCAGAAAAGCAATCCCAAGCAAGCACTTTTAGTAAGGAAGCACTGCATGAACTTTACCTTTGAGTATGATCGTCATAGGTAACGTCCACAAAATTGTCTTTGCTTATCTTTAATTCCTCTTGAGCAGCTTTCAATGACTTTTCAAAGGAATCCACACTTCCTATTATGAACTGCACTTTTCTATCAGCCTTAAAAATAAAATGTGTTGAAAATGAAAGGCCCAATGGATTGCTAATCTCTAATCTAAGACCTTCAAAGCGGGTCAAGGTCGAACTGATCTAAACTCAGTGTTCTCCCCAGGCTGTTTTTGAAGCATGGCACCATGCTCCCATAATTTCTTGCCATGCTGCTATCCTAGATCTGCTCTGCTATATATTCATAGTAAATCTAAAGTTACCATGCTGCTTTGATTTTACATAGAGTGCTGCTTTAACAGAAATATTGAAATACCATGCTTCTTTCAAAACATTCAGGGGAGAACATTGAAACTGACCATGGGTGTAAATATCATTACTCTGTATATACACCTGATGAACATTTGTAGCAAACTATGAAGTATTATTTTATTCATCATGTTATCTTCAAAGTTGGGCTACATCATTCAATCAAAAGTTCCAAAGTAAATCATTTGAGAAAACCTGAAAGCCTTTTGGCTATCGTGGGCAAATATAATTACCTTATTAGGTCATTCAGAAAAGGTAATTCCTTTAATCACATTTAAAAAGTTTTTTCAAGCATCCTACTAACCTAAAATCATAAACTAGTCCTCATGGCTATTCAGAAAAAGTAATATAAAGGTTGACAGTGGATGGATAACATTAAAATGCTGGACCTGCACCATCGAATAAGACTTAATAAATGTTGGCCCTTCTAGTTCTGCCAGGTAAACAAATTATAACCTGGAAAGTAAACTTTCAACGTACATTGCTAATGTGATTATGCAATGAGAAATATTCATTAAGATAACATGTTGAAAAACAACCTGAGAAAGACACTTTTCAAATGTGTTGTAAATGTGATAAGAAGTACACAGTGTGTGTTATAAGTTTGATGAGAAGTACACAGTGTGTGTTTTAACTTTGATGAGAAGTACAGTGTGTGTTATAAGTTTAATGAGAAGTACACAGTGTGTATTATAAGTTTGATGAGAAGTACACAGTGTGTTATAAGTTTGATGAGAAGTACAGTGTGTGTTATAAGTTTGATGAGAAGTACACAGTGTGTGTTATAAGTTTGAGGAGAAGTACAGTGTGTATTGTAAAATTGAGAATGTGATGAGAAATACACTTTCAGTGTGTTGTAAATGTGATGAGAAGTACACTTTCAGTATGTTGTAAATGTGATGAGAAGTTCAGTGTGTGTTATAAGTTTGTTGAGAAGTACACAGTGTGTGTTATAAGTTTGAGGAGAAGTACAGTGTGTATTGTAAAATTGAGAATGTGATGAGAAATACACTTTCAGTGTGTTGTAAATGTGATGAGAAGTACAGTGTGCGTTATAGGTTTGATGAGAAGTACACAGTGTGTGTTATAAGTTTGTTGAGAAGTACAGTGTGTGTTATAAGTTTGATGAGAAGTACAGTGTGTTATATGTTTGATGAGAAGTACAGTGTGTGTTATAAGTTTGAGGAGAAGTACAGTGTGTATTGTAAAATTGAGAATGTGATGAGAAATACACTTTCAGTGTGTTGTAAATGTGATGAGAAGTACCCTTTCAGTATGTTGTAAATGTGATGAGAAGTTCACTTTCAGTTTGTGTTGTAAATGTGATGAGAAGTACACTTTCAGTGTGTAATGTAAATGTGATAAGAAGAATATTTTCAGTGTGTAATGTAAATGTGATGAGAAGTTCACTTTCAGTGTGTTGTAAATGTGATAAGAAGATTATTTTCATTGTGTGTTGTTAATGTGATGAGAAGTACACTTTCATTGTGTGAGTTAAATGTGATGAGAAGTACACTTTCAGTGTGTGTTGTAAATGTGATGAGAAGTACACTTTCAGTGTGTGTTGTAAATGTCACTACAATAACAAGTTCACTTTAAGAGTGTACTGTAAATAAGATGAGAACTACATTTTTTTTAACATTGCAGGCTTTTACTTACCATTCCAGGTTTTAAATGTACAATCACTACTTCATTGTTTTGTACAACAAGGTTTCTTACCTGTAAACAAAGTAAACTCAGTCTGTTTAAAAAAGGCAATTTTAAATTAATTCATTGTTCCTCATGTTTTTAAGAGAAAATTCATAAAGTGTTGCCAAAATGTCATTTGTCTAAGCTAGAATGACATCATCTCATAACCTCAGAGACTAGGCTAGTATGACACCATCTAATAACCTCAGAGACTAGGCTAGTATGACATCATCTAATAACCTCAGAGACTAGGCTAGTATGACATCATCTAATAACCTCAGAGACTAGGCTAGTATGACATCATCTAATAACCTCAGAGACTAGGCTAGTATGACATCATCTAATAACCTCAGAGACTAGGCTAGTATGACATCATCTAATAACCTCAGAGACTAGGCTAGTATGACATCATCTAATAACCTCAGAGACTAGGCTAGTATGACATCATCTAATAACCTCAGAGACTAGGCTAGTATGACATCATCTAATAACCTCAGAGACTAGGCTAGTATGACATCATCTAATAACCTCAGAGACTAGGCTAGTATGACATCATCTAATAACCTCAGAGACTAGGCTAGTATGACATCATCTAATAACCTCAGAGACTAGGCTAGTATGACATCATCTAATAACCTCAGAGACTAGGCTAGTATGACATCATCTAATAACCTCAGAGACTAGGCTAGTATGACATCATCTAATAACCTCAGAGACTAGGCTAGTATGACATCATCTAATAACCTCAGAGACTAGGCTAGTATGACATCATCTAATAACCTCAGAGACTAGGCTAGTATGACATCATCTAATAACCTCAGAGACTAGGCTAGTATGACATCATCTAATAACCTCAGAGACTAGGCTAGTATGACATCATCTAATAACCTCAGAGACTAGGCTAGTATGACATCATCTAATAACCTCAGAGACTAGGCTAGTATGACATCATCTAATAACCTCAGAGACTAGGCTAGTATGACATCATCTAATAACCTCAGAGACTAGGCTAGTATGACATCATCTAATAACCTCAGAGACTAGGCTAGTATGACATCATCTAATAACCTCAGAGACTAGGCTAGTATGACATCATCTAATAACCTCAGAGACTAGGCTAGTATGACATCATCTAATAACCTCAGAGACTAGGCTAGTATGACATCATCTAATAACCTCAGAGACTAGGCTAGTATGACATCATCTAATAACCTCAGAGACTAGGCTAGTATGACATCATCTAATAACCTCAGAGACTAGGCTAGTATGACATCATCTAATAACCTCAGAGACTAGGCTAGTATGACATCATCTAATAACCTCAGAGACTAGGCTAGTATGACATCATCTAATAACCTCAGAGACTAGGCTAGTATGACATCATCTAATAACCTCAGAGACTAGGCTAGTATGACATCATCTAATAACCTCAGAGACTAGGCTAGTATGACATCATCTAATAACCTCAGAGACTAGGCTAGTATGACATCATCTAATAACCTCAGAGACTAGGCTAGTATGACATCATCTAATAACCTCAGAGACTAGGCTAGTATGACATCATCTAATAACCTCAGAGACTAGGCTAGTATGACATCATCTAATAACCTCAGAGACTAGGCTAGTATGACATCATCTAATAACCTCAGAGACTAGGCTAGTATGACATCATCTAATAACCTCAGAGACTAGGCTAGTATGACATCATCTAATAACCTCAGAGACTAGGCTAGTATGACATCATCTAATAACCTCAGAGACTAGGCTAGTATGACATCATCTAATAACCTCAGAGACTAGGCTAGTATGACATCATCTAATAACCTCAGAGACTAGGCTAGTATGACATCATCTAATAACCTCAGAGACTAGGCTAGTATGACATCATCTAATAACCTCAGAGACTAGGCTAGTATGACATCATCTAATAACCTCAGAGACTAGGCTAGTATGACATCATCTAATAACCTCAGAGACTAGGCTAGTATGACATCATCTAATAACCTCAGAGACTAGGCTAGTATGACATCATCTAATAACCTCAGAGACTAGGCTAGTATGACATCATCTAATAACCTCAGAGACTAGGCTAGTATGACATCATCTAATAACCTCAGAGACTAGGCTAGTATGACATCATCTAATAACCTCAGAGACTAGGCTAGTATGACATCATCTAATAACCTCAGAGACTAGGCTAGTATGACATCATCTAATAACCTCAGAGACTAGGCTAGTATGACATCATCTAATAACCTCAGAGACTAGGCTAGTATGACATCATCTAATAACCTCAGAGACTAGGCTAGTATGACATCATCTAATAACCTCAGAGACTAGGCTAGTATGACATCATCTAATAACCTCAGAGACTAGGCTAGTATGACATCATCTAATAACCTCAGAGACTAGGCTAGTATGACATCATCTAATAACCTCAGAGACTAGGCTAGTATGACATCATCTAATAACCTCAGAGACTAGGCTAGTATGACATCATCTAATAACCTCAGAGACTAGGCTAGTATGACATCATCTAATAACCTCAGAGACTAGGCTAGTATGACATCATCTAATAACCTCAGAGACTAGGCTAGTATGACATCATCTAATAACCTCAGAGACTAGGCTAGTATGACATCATCTAATAACCTCAGAGACTAGGCTAGTATGACATCATCTAATAACCTCAGAGACTAGGCTAGTATGACATCATCTAATAACCTCAGAGACTAGGCTAGTATGACATCATCTAATAACCTCAGAGACTAGGCTAGTATGACATCATCTAATAACCTCAGAGACTAGGCTAGTATGACATCATCTAATAACCTCAGAGACTAGGCTAGTATGACATCATCTAATAACCTCAGAGACTAGGCTAGTATGACATCATCTAATAACCTCAGAGACTAGGCTAGTATGACATCATCTAATAACCTCAGAGACTAGGCTAGTATGACATCATCTAATAACCTCAGAGACTAGGCTAGTATGACATCATCTAATAACCTCAGAGACTAGGCTAGTATGACATCATCTAATAACCTCAGAGACTAGGCTAGTATGACATCATCTAATAACCTCAGAGACTAGGCTAGTATGACATCATCTAATAACCTCAGAGACTAGGCTAGTATGACATCATCTAATAACCTCAGAGACTAGGCTAGTATGACATCATCTAATAACCTCAGAGACTAGGCTAGTATGACATCATCTAATAACCTCAGAGACTAGGCTAGTATGACATCATCTAATAACCTCAGAGACTAGGCTAGTATGACATCATCTAATAACCTCAGAGACTAGGCTAGTATGACATCATCTAATAACCTCAGAGACTAGGCTAGTATGACATCATCTAATAACCTCAGAGACTAGGCTAGTATGACATCATCTAATAACCTCAGAGACTAGGCTAGTATGACATCATCTAATAACCTCAGAGACTAGGCTAGTATGACATCATCTAATAACCTCAGAGACTAGGCTAGTATGACATCATCTAATAACCTCAGAGACTAGGCTAGTATGACATCATCTAATAACCTCAGAGACTAGGCTAGTATGACATCATCTAATAACCTCAGAGACTAGGCTAGTATGACATCATCTAATAACCTCAGAGACTAGGCTAGTATGACATCATCTAATAACCTCAGAGACTAGGCTAGTATGACATCATCTAATAACCTCAGAGACTAGGCTAGTATGACATCATCTAATAACCTCAGAGACTAGGCTAGTATGACATCATCTAATAACCTCAGAGACTAGGCTAGTATGACATCATCTAATAACCTCAGAGACTAGGCTAGTATGACATCATCTAATAACCTCAGAGACTAGGCTAGTATGACATCATCTAATAACCTCAGAGACTAGGCTAGTATGACATCATCTAATAACCTCAGAGACTAGGCTAGTATGACATCATCTAATAACCTCAGAGACTAGGCTAGTATGACATCATCTAATAACCTCAGAGACTAGGCTAGTATGACATCATCTAATAACCTCAGAGACTAGGCTAGTATGACATCATCTAATAACCTCAGAGACTAGGCTAGTATGACATCATCTAATAACCTCAGAGACTAGGCTAGTATGACATCATCTAATAACCTCAGAGACTAGGCTAGTATGACATCATCTAATAACCTCAGAGACTAGGCTAGTATGACATCATCTAATAACCTCAGAGACTAGGCTAGTATGACATCATCTAATAACCTCAGAGACTAGGCTAGTATGACATCATCTAATAACCTCAGAGACTAGGCTAGTATGACATCATCTAATAACCTCAGAGACTAGGCTAGTATGACATCATCTAATAACCTCAGAGACTAGGCTAGTATGACATCATCTAATAACCTCAGAGACTAGGCTAGTATAACATCATCTAATAACCTCAGAGACTAGGCTATAATGACAACATCTAATAACCTCAGAGACTAGGCTAGTATGACATCATATAATAACCTCAGAGACTAGGCTAGTATGAAATCATCTAATAACCTCAGAGACACCATCTAATAACCACAGAGACTAGGCTAGTATGACATCATCTAATAACCTCAGACACTAAGCTAGTATGACATCATCTAATAACCCAAGAGACTAGGCTAGTATGACATCATCTAATAACCTCAGAGACTAGGCTAGTATGACATCATCTAATAACCCCAGAGACTAGGCTAGTATGACATCATCTAATAAACTCAGACACTAAGCTAGTATGACATCATCTAATAACCCAAGAGACTAGGCTAGTATGACATGTATGACATCATATAATAACCTCAGAGACTAGGCTAGTATGACATCATCTAATAACCCCAGACACTAGGCTAGTATGACATCATCTAATAACCCCAGAGACTAGGCTAGTATGACATCATCTAATAACCCCAGAGACTAGGCTAGTATGACATCATCTAATAACCCCGGACACTAGGCTAGTATGACATCATCTAATAACCTCAGAGACTAGGCTAGTATGACAACATCTGGTTGCCACATGGGCTTCGCTAGTGTGATGCCACCATCTGGTAGCCAACAGGGCTGGGCTAGTATGATGTCATCTGTTTGCCCCTGGGGCTGGGCTAGTATGACATTATATAGTAGCCCAAGGGGCAGGGCTAGTACAACATCATCTGGTAGTCCCAGGGACTGGGCAAGTATGACATTATCTGGTAGTCCCAGGGGATGGGCTAGTATGACAAGATCTGGTTGCTCGAAGAGGCTGGGTTAGTATGAGACCATATGGTAGACTGCGGAGCTGGGCTAGTATGACATCATCTGGTTGCCCTAGGGGCTGGGTTTGTGCCATCTGACACTCTTGATTATTTTGTTCACATTTTACCATGTTTTAGAGAAAAAGAAATATTTCACGATGAAAAACTAAACTCACTTTTTTGGTATTTCTATTTTTAACACCCCAATACAAATGATATAAAGAGCATGTATACCACAATATCAAAAATAAGTGAAAAGTCCAAAACTGTTCTTAAATGAACATTGTTTACGTTTGACTTCATCATCACTAATTGGCAGTAATAGGCCACTGTTGACCTAGACATGTTAACTTAACTATGAGATCTTACCACTCCAGCTTTTAGGTAATTGTTGACAAATTCTCTGAAAGTTATTTCTCTATGTGACACTTCAGATCTAGCTATGAGGAGAACGAATAATGCCACTGCAAGAGGGACTACCCAAAAATTTTCCTGACTGTTCCTGAAGAAAAACAAAACATTCAAAAATCAGGTTTTATTTTATGCATGATAGAAAAAAAATGCAATAATGACTGCAGGTATAATCTGAAACACTGTTACTATATATATTACAAAGTAAATTGTCAAACACTTGTATACATACCAGGTAAGTCAATTTAACAATTTCCTAAGGTTCATCAGTTCAAAGCTTTCCAAATCAGCAATTTTATGGAATTTTAATCATCCACCTTCAGGTCACCATATAGGTACAAACCATATAGAATGCATGTTTAGATATTCAAGTTAAAGTACAGAAAATAGAGTTGACATTACTTGACTTGGATGAGTAGGGCAGTTTAACGGTTTAATTGATTAGGGTGTAAGGTTGTTAAGCAGGAGATGTGATAACCCTAGAGACTTCTATATTGTGACACTTACAAAGAAAACATAAAGTGTCCCGAGATGTTTATCTTGGGATAAAAATGTACTCACGGAGGAGGTGTTTTACCAGATTTTCTCTTTTTATACTCCTCTGTTTCGTGGAGACCTCCCCTCTTTTCACGTCCTGAATGACATTTAAATCCAGGCAAAGATTAGCCTTTTAAAAGGACAAACTCAGAATTATTTCTATTTCGTACACATGTAGGGTTGTGGACTGTTTATAATGTTAAGTATTCATGTAAACCAAGCTTTTGAGATACAACCTTTTCTTTTACAGAATTTAAATATAGTGACTCCCATGACTTAAAAAAACAGCTTCGCTCAAATGCTGTACTTGATATGGACTTTTAAAGTGTAGCCTTGTACATTATATCACTTATTATAGAAAAATGTATAAAATGCTGAATACTTTATTTTAAGGACACTCTAGTGTCACTTTTCAACATGTCAGTGCTCTGCTTAGCATTTTAATAAATATTACAAATAAAGTTACCTGTTGGTTTTGATCTGTTTTTTAATTTCTCCTCAAATTTTTCAAATCCTTTGGGGCCCTTGGCTGATGCTGCGAGAGATGTGAAGCTGAAATGACGCATTAAAGACGTCATTTCTCTTGACTGCAACATATTTGACAGCAGTGCTATTTCTCTTTTGACCTACAACAAAATTAAAACAATTATAATACTGGAGAATGAAGATTTAGTTATATCTACACTGCATGTTTACAACAAAATCATTTTTAACAAGTGACAAGGACAGACCCCGATTTAAAGCCTTAAAACTGTTTTGGTTTTCCTAATTTTAAGGTCAACTTAACAACAAATTGATTAAGATTGAGCACAATTTCTTTAAATAATTGATTATTAATAGTTTATATAATAGTAGCAAATTCCTAACATCCCCTGGGTATGCATGATTCTTTCTTGTGAAAGTGAGATGTTCTATTCAACTGATATATTTATAATACAGTTTTACTAGTGATATGATCATTCATCATCTGATTAGCATGGTATTATTGAACTGTACTTATGAGCAAATATATTCCATATTGTTTATTTAGATATAATACATAATTATGCAATGTAATGATGTATTTTTTTTTTAACTTTTACTAATTAAAGAGGGGCTAACGCTAGCACTCGTTCGGCTATCATGGATTTAAATTTCAACACATTTTATTGACAAAGAATGTTACACTGTCAAAAGGATTGGACACCAGGCTTATAGTGTATATAAGTCAATCACGTCCTCTCCATTGGTGGTATATATATATGGACATATTGGATTGATATTTTGATTTTAAATTATAAAGATTTTGCTTATCATGGATGAGTGAAAACCTTTCTATGAATGATATTATGGAACATGTATGATGAGCAGTCTGACTTGAGCATGCTTCTTCTCCAGTGTATCCCAGTCTGACTTCTGTGAAATGGCGGACATGTAGTCTTGTAGTTGCCACTGAAAAAACCTTTCCCCATGTCTCTTGACTTCCTTCAGGTAACCAATGTTATTTCTTTGATAAGGGTCCCATGCTGAGACTGATTTTTCAGAGGAACCAACTATCACCTCAACACCTTGGTAACATATATGGTCACTCTACCACACGTCACTATTGAAGGTGACCACCAGGTATCTGCCTATCTGGCCATTTTCAAAACCTCTCAAATCCTTCAAGACAGTGTTATGTCTATCTAATAAATCAGTACGGGCAGATACATTTGTATATATCAATGTGCCAAGGGAGGCAATCTGATGACAAATGATTGATGAACTCTCCTATGTAGGAGATAATTTGTAGTATGGAAAGAGAAAAAATTATCAAATGGAAGAGACAAGACATTTTTGTTGTCAAATGTCGCCTCTTCATTTCCACTCCATTCCAACATATATCAACACATTATAACAGCAGGTTTAAGGACAAGTTTCTTCTTCTTGGTGATAATAGATAAGCAGAGACACACTTCTCTGGATTTAACCTCACCTGTCATGAAGCACCTAACACTTCAGATCGTCTTTACGTAGGTGACTATACTTTAAAGATCCATGTCATTTTAACCTAAATCTCTTTCACACTAAAGGTCTAAATCCAGTAGGGGTGTCACAATATGCCAAGAGTGTATCACGATATATTGCAATACTGAATGATTAATTGCGATACATATCCCAATATATTGTCAGAGAAAAAATGTGCTCATTTGTATAATAAGTTGTTGTCAGAATGCTATCAAACTTAATCATATATAATATGGTGAACAAAATTGGTGAACTATTAAAAGCCTGCTTTATGCTTATTGGCATATCTGTTAGAATTTGTAGTAATTTGCAAAGTTAAAACACCAAGCAGATACATAACAAGAGGCCCAATGGCCTTAGTGGTCACATGAGTTATATTATAGGTACTTGTCACTCAATTTCATGGTTGAGAACTTGAGAAAAAATACTCAATTAAATTATTGTGCTATTGAGAAATATAATATCTATTGCTGTATAGCCAATTTTCCTCTTTGGCCAACCCCTGGGATAAGTCAGGATCTTAAACTTTCTGATACTATTTGATTTCAATTTTATTAGAACTATTCCAACCAAGTTTGAATTATTTCTTGCTGAAAATGGACAAGATATAGTCAGAAGTGTTATTTCCCTATATACAAAATAATAAACTTTACCCTCTCCCCAAGGGAGACCTGGGAGATGATGAAATTTACAATTTAGATAATGTACCTTTCTATTCATAAAGAGAAATTGACTGTAGTACCTTTGAGTCGGAAGAAGAAGACTTTTGAAATACTGGTATATTTTCCCTTTGGGGCCCCACCCTAGCCCCTTGGGATGGGGCAGGAATCCTAATTTTATAATGTAAAACCCTCTTCAACCAGATGATTCTGACCAGGTCTGAATAATTTCCTGCTGAAAATTAACAAAATATATCCAAAAGTCTTTTTTCCCTATATAAACTATAGTCAAATTTACCCCCCTCCCCAAGGGAGAACAGATGAGCCGGGGGTTCTGAAATTTACAATTTAAATAAAACCTCTGATGACCTTTTTATCCACTCAGAGAAAAGACTGTAGAACCTCAGTCTTGAGAAGAAGATTTTTGAAATATTGGTTAATTTTCCCTTTGAAGCCCCGTTCTGGCCCCTGGGTTGGGGCAGGAATCCCAATTTTACACTTTGATACCATCTTCCTCCAAGGATGATTCTCAACAAGTAAGAATAATTTCCTACTGAAAATTGACAAAAAATACCCAAATGTGTTGTTTCCCTATAGTAAACTTTACCCCCACCCCAAGAGAGAATGGATGCCCCGGGGATACTACGATTTACAATTTGAGCACAGCCCATGGTGATCTTTCTATCCATTCAGAGAAATTGACTGTAGTACCTCCGAGTCTGGTAATTTTGAAATACTGGTTAATTTTCCCTTTGAGGCCCCGTTCTGGCCCCTGGGGTTGGGGTAGGAATCCAAACTTTACAATTTTGCTGCATCATCTACCAAGGATTATTCAGACCAAGTTTGAAAAAAATCCATCCACTGGTTCTTGAGAAGAAGTTGAAAATGTGAAACGTTTATCCATGACGACGGACAAAAAGCGATCAGAATAGGTCACTTGAGCAAAGCTCAGGTGACCTAAAAACATGCTTTTGAAAAATATTGCGATACAGTAATATTTCACCTTTGTATTGTGGTACGATACGATATTCCTGTGTATTGTGATATACCAGTTTTCCGATATATATTGTGACAGCTCTAAAATCCAGTTAGTCAAAGGTTTCTTCACTTTAATAAGAGCATATATTTTGAAGTTATATTTATTAGTTTAATGTTTTCAAGAATTAAAAACTTACTGTTGTCATGTTTCACAAACAATTGTTGTTGAAAGAATTTCAGGCGAATGCTGTATAGAAAACTTGTCAATCATATGTACGAGCCTAACGACAAAAAGTCAAGACTAACGAAAACTAAGGAAAATTTCACACAGAACTCATTTAGTCATACACTACTTAAGAGGCCTAAAAAGATTCCAGCTATATTCCATTAGAAGAGTCCTCAGTTTTCAATCGTTCAACAATTTCCCACCTTCATGAGTGAAGCCATTTTGTAAATTTCGCAAAAAACCTTTTGAATAAATCATATAAAAAGAGCGGTCTAGAATTCTTCTCAATACGAATATTCTGCTTTCATTTCGGATCAGTACAACTTGTCGATGAGTCACTCCTGTGTAATTTGCATAACCTACAAATCGTCTTCAAGTCTCTCCAATGACTGCAATATATCCTCTGGATGGTTTGGGATATACATACCTTATATATACAGAATGCCCACTTGACCTTTGGTTTTGTTATTGACTGGCCTTTGCTTGTTCTTCCCCTTACTTTGACACTGTTTTTGTACCTGTTGTAGAGCCCATTCCGGATATGCACAGGTTTTCATTGCCCTAGCGATTTGATTCTGCTCTTGTATTTTGTCCTGTTGTTCTGCGACTATAGTATCACATCTGTTGAACAATGCTTTTCATAATACAACAAGAGATCCCAGAGGGATCTTGGCGCCCACCTTTGTACCATCTTCAATAGTTCTTTATTAGTTTGATCTTTTCTCTTCTTTCCTCTAATCTGTTTGATCGAGTCATGATAACAGTAAATGCACCTTGAGGTAACTTTTGATCTAAACTTAATACTGATGTGTATGAAAGCCAACCTTCAAAGTAAGTTTGTCATTTCACATATTTACTAGTACAGTAATTAATGTGAAAGAAATAGAATCGATCATTGCAATACGAGAAAGATCTGTTTAGTTCTTCTTTTAATCCATTTTGTTTTTATGATCAGTCTCAAAATATAACATACACAACGAGGGATCAAGGGGAACCTACATTTAAAATTTGAGAAAGATCCCTCCCATACTTCCCGAGAAATAGTGATAACAAACTTTCACTATCAAAATCCAAGATGGCTGCCTGTCGGCCATGTTGTTTATCCGATCAGTCTCAAAAGTTGCCCTGCACAGCTAAGGACCAAGGGGAACCTACATATAAAATTTGAGAAAGATCCCTCTAGTACTTCTTGAGAAATAGCGATAACAAACTTTCACTATCAAAATCCAAGATGGCTGCCTGTCGACCATGTTGTTTATCCGATCAGTCTCAAAAGTTGCCCTGCACAGCTAAGGACCAAGGGGAACCTGCATATAAAATTTGTGAAAGATCCCTCTGGTACTTCTTGAGAAATACCGATAACAAGAATTGTTTACGGACGGACCACGGACGACGGACCACGGACGCAGGGGGATTTGAATAGCCCACTATCAGATGATGGTGGGCTAAAAAGAGCGGTATTGGATAAATAAATAACCAATTTAAAGATACATATGCGAGGTATGGGATCTGGGTTGTTTCACGCTGAATCCCACAGGTCAGTTCTCTATAAACCCAGTTTGTCCAAAGTTGTTTCACCCTAATGTAATTATATCATTTTAAATGATGAATATAATTTTAAATTATACATATAATTCGATATGTTTTTATTGGTTGAATATCTTCCTGTTTTCATGTTTCATACACAATTATGTTGGAAGAATTTTATGCATGTGTATGGGACATTGTATGTGCAGATCGATCACACATGAATTCAATAAATCTAATATGACCAAAAAGATCAAGGGTAATTTCAAATGAGACTGTATTAGCCATACACATATAATCCTCAAAGTACAGGGGTTATGCTTACTTTCGCTCCCTGCAACACTGTAAAATGTCATGACAAAATTTGAAGGCTCAGTGTGCCCTACCTTGTAGATGAGACAGGAGACTTGTTTTACCCTTAATTTGATGTACATAACATAATCGGTCATGTAATGGTAACATTGACAGGCTTTGAAGCCCGGTAGTCTCTCGTCTGTAATCATCAAAGGACAGGAAATTAGCCGAACAAATCAGTCAATTGGTCAAGTTTTTTTTTATCCGAGGCCAATCAAATAGCTAAATATTGATGGTGCCTTCATGTTTTGCTATGACATACATTCCAGGAGTGTAGAAAGCAAAAGTGAGCATAACCCCAGAAGTATCGAAAATGTACACAACTAAACAGGACCAAAAAACTGTCACCTTACAAACATTTTTAGGCTGGAACAACCAAACGCAACCGATGCGGACATGTTTAGGGCGAAATGACATGACACCTGAGGTATGTGTTGTGTCATATAGCTGACTTTTGTTGCCAGCACTGCATTACTTCCCACAACCAATAGTGTTGGAGAGTTCCTTGTTCCCATAGAGTAGTGGGTTCTGGCCCCACACCAGACATTTTTCTGTCAGAATGTTGAAGTCTGGTGTCGGGGCCAGAGGAAGCTGGTGCTGTGTAAAAGGGTTCCGGGTTGTTTCGCCCCAAATCCTGTTGGCCCTAGGTTGTTTCGCCCTAAATCAAAAATATTAGGGTGAAACCTTGTTTGTTTCTTTCAATTTTAGTAGTTTTAAGTCATTAAAATCAATTTCATAAAAAAAAGCGTTTGTCTTGTTTGTAAGCGAGTGTGACAAACAGTAGCTGTGGAAAGCAGACTCCGTTTTCGCATACTGAAATACCTAACACCAATGTAGAAAGTCATCAATAAGTTTAGTTGATATATTTAGATATTAATTATTATATAAAGCAGATAAATAATTTTTTTTTAGGACAAAACAACCTATGGCGAACGGGATTGAGGGTGAAACAAACCTTAGCGCGAACAGGATTAAGGGCGAAACAACCTGTTACCGTGTGCAAGTTACATGTTTACTCCACAGAGACCAAAATGTGCGGTTTATGTAATTCAGTTCTCTACAAAGAGAGATTCCACTAGATAAAGGGCCACGGACAAGGTTTATAACAGAGAATATCAGGCTGCCACTATGGATTCAGCGACTGCCAGCCTTCCATTTCGTTGATCTACCAAAAGCTAGAAGAAAATTCTAGAGTGAAGCTAGGCGACTATACATGTACAACAGAAACTACTTAGAATTGCTCTACTGTAGATTCGGATATTATATGCGCTGTCATTTCTAAATAAACATACCTCAGGATTCATAGATTTTCCTGACAACATGCTCCTTAGAAAAACATGTCCTCTACGACCTAAAGCCATATAACGGTGAGACATCTTGATATGTTTCTATCTGCAAGGTTACTGCAGACAGCAGCAGCAGTTATAGTCTCGTTCAACCAGACGCGTGTTCACCTCTCTGTTCGGCATAGCGCAGACAAAAAGAGTCTGGTTGAACGAGACTACAGCAGTTATAATATTTTACTTCCGGTTTATAGGATATTCTAATTCCCGAGTCTGTGCAGAGTAATATATCCGGTTAAATTGAAGTTTGGATAGCACAGAATATTAGATTAGGACTACATTCGCGTATCCCGGTTGAAATGGTACGTGTGGTGCAGAAATATTCCACGATAAACGAACACACTTGGACCGTTCTTTAAGCAGAGCTAAAAATGCACAGTTTCGCAGAATAAAAAAACAATGTACTTCTACTTCTAATTTGTAGTGACCGTCTTTAACAAACTAAAGTTTATGCCACTTTTTATGGACTACGCCTGGCTTAGCGGAACAATATTTAGAGTAAAAAGAAATGATTTTTTTTTTTAAATCAAAAACGATTTAAATATATCTACATATAGTTATTAACACATTTTTATTTTTATTTTTATGATATGATAAAACTATTTACACATGATAACTGACTATATTCACTGTCTCAACACGGAGGGAGCCTGGAACTGTTTTGTTGATAACCTATCAAATATTGTAAAGAAACATGTACCAGAGAACGACCAATTCAAGCAAGCAAGAAACGAGGCTACAGCTTACATCAGGCGATCAAACTATGTACACGAAAACAAACTGGCTGACGAGATCAAAATCAATTCAAAGGTATTCTGGAAGTATGTGAAATCAAAAAGGTAAACAAAATCAACCTTAAACAGACTTGGAAAAACTAATGGAGAACACACACAATCTGACCAAGAAGCTGCTGACACATTGAATAATTACTTCTTCTCAGTTTTTGTCGAAGACGTGACGGGTGAACCCCCAAACATTACTATGAAAACACCAAACACAGCACTGAACATGATTGAAATAACTGAAGAGCTTGTACAAAAAGGTCAACCCAACAAAAGTCCTGGGCCTGACGGTCTACATCCAAAACTATACGTTGAGGCAGTATCAGAAATAAAGACGCCATTATCACAACTGTTTAAAAAATCACTCCAAGAAGGAAAATTACCTAATGCTTGGAAGGAGGCCAATGTAACACCTAACCACAAAAGTGGCTCAAAAAAGAAACCTAACAACTATCGTCCAATAAGCCTAACTGCAATGGCCAGCAAAATTCTACAACGAACCATCAGGGACAAACTATTCGAACACACGGAAACAAACAACTTCTTAACAAACTGCCAACACGGCTTTAGACCGGGTAGATCATGTACAACCCAACTACTAGAATCCTTGGGAGATTGGATGGTAGAGCTAAACAAAGGGGAGACAACTGACGTAGTGTACCTAGACTACAGCAAAGCCTTTGACAAAGTGTCTCACAGAAGGCTACTGCATAAACTCTCGAGTTTCGATGTGGAAGGCGAAACACTCAACAGGATAGAAGCGTTTTGAAGAACCTAAAACAAAAAGTAGTAGTGAACGGTTCAGAGTCAAGTTTAATAAACGTCACGAGCGAGGTCCCACAGGGAAGTGTGCTAGGACCAATACTCTTCCTAATATATATCATCGACTTCCCAGATAACATTTCCAGTACTACAAAACTTTCGCAGATGATTAAAATCTATAGAACAATTATCAGCAAAGTTGATACAGACCATCTCCAGTCAGATCTTCTTAACTCAATCTGTGATTGGACCGTCACATGGCTCATGAAACTCAACGTGGATAAATGCAAACATCTCAACATTGGACAGACGAGGGACAATCACCACTACTCTATCAAGCAGGATGATCATGTGGCAGTGCTATGTTTTTTAGGTTATTTTGTAATAAGAGTTTAATTCAAATTATTAAACTATATAGTATTGTCTAAGTGAGAATGCTTAAGTTGTACGTATGCCTGACGTACTTAACTATTTTTATATACCGATTCTCGTACTCGTTCAACCAGTTTGTTTGGTCAACGTGTGTCTCAAGTGTTTGTTACCTGTGCTGTTTTGTTATGTAAATGTCTTGTCACGTGATCGCATGTCAGCTCGTGCACTTTTACGTCTTGTATCTTCACTCCCGCACTGACATAGAAACCTATACCGACATATATTATACCGACTGCGGTGAACAGAACTCTACTTATTTCAGAGTAAGTGTATGAAACATATTAGTATTGAGCTATTTAAAATACTATATTTTAGAGTAACCTTTATGGAATTAGTATGTTTGCATTTGCTAAAATATTTGAAGAAGTTAAAATATCTTTGATAAACGTATTTTTGGGTGTGGTTTCCATTATCTTTTTATGGTAACTGTAATTCACTCTAAAGTATTTTAAAAGTAATTTGCTTAACATGTTTACTATATATTAAGTTTTGTTATTTTCCTTTTCAACAGAACCATATACCTATTATGTAAGCAACGTATATTATACGTAGAGTTATCATCATTAGACCCCTGTCGGAGCGATAGGGTAGATATTTTTAATATAAGGCACTATTTAATTATCTCGTAATTATCATAGTTCATGTGCAAAATTGGTAAATTCTATAATTTATCATGTGTATGTATTTCAAATGTATTGTATTAAATTCGTAATGTTAATTGCAACCGTTACGGGTATCGTGTATCTTTATGTAAAGCCAATTTGATGTCCATTGTATAATGTAGATCTTTATGTATTGAATATGTGCTTATATGTTTTATTTGTGCTATTGCAGGGTCTTTCGACTCCAATAAAACGATTGCATAACTGGGAATTTGATTCTTCGTGATTTATAAGAATCTGTGTAGCACCTGAACCCGGCTACAATCAGATACACAATATATGTACAGTAGACTGTGAAAAAGACCTCGGAGTCATTGTAGACAGCAATGTTTGAAAATCTCATATCAACTTCTGTAGCAAAAGCCAACAGGAACCTAGGACTAATCTTTAGAACTTTTTCATTTATGGACAAAAATATGTTTTTATCACTGTACAAATCTCTCGTCCGCCCACACTTTGAATATGCAAGTGTTGTCTGGTCACCATACTTGCTAAAAGACATCAAACTACTGGAAAATGTACAAAGGAGAGCAACTCGTCTAATTCCAAGTCTAGCAAACAAACCTTACTCAGAGAGACTGCGCCATCTAGAATTACCTTCTTTAGAGTACAGAAGACACCGAGCTGACCTGATCTAAACATACAAGATCCTAGAGGGAACAGACACTGTAGATCACAGCAAAATGTTCACTAAAACCCAGGATTCCAGACAAGAGGGAACAACAAAAAGCTGTTTAAAAAGAGAACCAATAGACAACTAAGCAGTAACAGTTATTGCAACAGGGTTGTGGAGTTCTGGAATAGTCTGTCAAACCATGTGGTAAATGCCCCTGGTGTAAATAGTTTTAAACACAGACTCAACAGGTTTTGGTCTGAACACCCCTGTAAATCAATGCCTCCTGCTATTAGCAAGATCCAGTCAGATCATTTAATATCTTAACTCACCTTTTAACTGTAAGATTTCTGGATTTTAATTCCTCTATATCAATACGCACCGGAAGTCGGGTATCAGTATAGGAACATTAAAATGCGCCGCAAAAAGCTACCTGAAACTATCCATAGGCATTGGTGTCGACAACTATATCAACTATATCAGCTATAGGTGTAAGTGTTCTGCAAGATGGAATTTGATAACAGAGTGAGTGTGTGTATCGTGACTGTCTAAGAGGTTGTATTAATCTGTCTGTTTTTGTGATGGCAATTAGTTGGTATGCTATTTTATAGAGCATGACAAGACAGGCATCTGTTCTCCTGTGTACTAGGTCTCTTCATTTTAGATTTGTTATCATGTCACTAACACTTGAGATGTTTCTGTGTCGGTTAGTGACATCTGGCGGCCCTTCGTTGTACCTTTTCAAGGTTTATTTTTACGTCCTCAGTAAGGTAAGGGCCCCAGACTGAACAGGCATATTCTAGTGGTGGTCTGACTAGGGACTTATACGCCTGTTCCTTTACTGAGGTGGAACTGATTTTAAGGTTCCTTCGGAGAAAACCAAGTGTGCTGTTTGACATATTGCATATTTTGTTAATGTGACTGTGCCATTTAAGGTCGGATTGTATGGTCACCCCTAGGTATTTTGCCTTGTCAACGTGGTTTGGTTTGGGTTGTTTGTGTTTTACGTCCTATTAACAGCTTGTATAGTCATTTTAGGATGCGCCAGGTTTTTGTGGTGGAGGAAAGCCGGAGTTCCCGGAGAAAAACCTACGACCTATGGCTAGTACCTGGCGACTGCCACACGTAGGTCTCGAACCTGCGACCCAGTGGTGGAGGACTAGTGGTAGCAGAATGTCAGAGGCCTGAACCACTTAGCCACCGCGGCCCCTTGTCACGGTGTTGAAATGTATGGCCACGTAAAGTGTAGTTGTATTTGAAAGGATCTTTATTTCTGCTGATGGATAAAACAGTACACTTGTCAGAATGAAAAGCCATTTTCCATGTGTTGGAATACCTAGTATATCAAGATCTTTCTGAATGGTTTTACAGTCACTGTTTGATTTTATCACAAGGGAAACACGAAACAAAACAATGGTATCATCGGCAAATAGACGTTTGGTGGAATTTAAGCCAACAGGTATGTCGTTTATGTAAAACAAGAACCGACGTGGACCCAGAACTGAACCTTGGGGAACACCTGACATTACAGAAATATAACCTGACGTCTCACCCTCAAGGATAACTGCCTGGGTACTATGTGATAAGGAGCTATGTGTCCATGCATTTGTTTTACCCTGTATCCCATAATGATTTAGTTTGTGTATGAGTAGATTATGGCTGACTTTATCGAATGCTTTTGAAAAATCCATTATTAATACATCTGTTTGTTTTGAGTTTTCAATATTTTTGGTGACATCATCTGAATATAAATTCCAAGAGCTGAGATTCACAGGATCTACATTTTCGAAACCCGTGTTGAAGGGGATACAGGATGTTATGGTTGTCTGTGTGTGTCATAATGGCACTTGCTACAACATGTTCCATAATTGTGCAACATATGTATTTCAAAGAAATGGGTCT